TAGCTTTGCGCCTTTTCCTGGAACTCACTTGGTAGCCCAGGCTGGCCTCGAACTCACAGAGATGCGCCTGCCTCTGCCTCCCGAGTGCTGGGATTAAAGGCGTGCGCCACCACCGCCCGGCTAAAATTTTATTTCTTTAATGGTATCACTTGCTAAGGTAAAAAGCTAATAATGAAGGTTAATTCATTTAGTTTAGAAGTCTGCTTTGTGGAATTCAAGCTGGGTACTATAAGAAGTAAGTTAGTGGAAGAAATAGAAAGAGTAGACTCAGTTCGACCCCAAAATGGCCATGGCAAACCTTTATCGGCATCCCCAAACCCTGAGGCTCAGTGTCTGGAAACAGGAGAACCCACTACGTAGGGTCTGAGAATGGTTTTGTGCTGGAGAGTAGAGATGGGAAGAGCATGACTTCACCAGATCCAGACATTGCTTTTCTGGATAAAACGCTTTTGGAAACTGTAGGGTGAATAATAAGTCAGATTGCCCATTTTTTCCAACTCAGGACTCCAGGATGTGTAATGGGGTTTGCCATTTTCTACCACTCCACGGGCCTCAGGTTTCCTAAAGCCTTGGGCCTGTTTTTGGCTCTGTGATTGGGATGGGGAATTTCCTTCTGGCACCACATGTGGAGGATTACGTCAGCTGTGGTCTTCCTCCACTCTTCCCCTCACTTTACCGTAACGGCCCTCTTCTCGTCTCTTTTTCCTTCTCCCCCTGGTTTCTCTGATTCCTTGTCCCTTCAAGTCTCTTATTTGTCATCAACTAGAACAATGCCGCTGTGGAAATGGCCCAGAAGGCAGTTCGAAGGATTCCGAGCTGCAGCAGTCTTGATGTCGGGCCTCAAAGGCAGAGAGGTTGTGACGTGGGAGGCAAGGGCTGGCCCTCGACGTTTGCAGTGATCAGATTAGGCAGACTTGGGTTAGCCCGGTTGATTCTTTGGCTGAGCGACAAGAAGGGAACCTATACGTTGGAGCAGCTGCTGTCCTTGTCCAGCCTGGTGCTTCGGTCCCTGTGGATGTTGTATCCACTCACACGGTCCACGTTTCAGACACATAGCAGGCCTGCTGACCTCTGCAGAGTCCTCGCAGTCATCTGGTTACACCATCCATGTTCGGAAGACCCATTCAAAAACGTCACCTGGTGTTTACATCACGGTGTGTGCTCTTGCTGTCTATAAGTTCTTTAAGTAAAGTCTACAAACAGCCAAGACCTATGACTTTAAAATCTTCTTTCAAAAAAAAAAAAGTGACAGAAGAAAGCATCATAATTTGAACCATTTTATTCAAAAATGCCGTATTTTAAAATTCCTTCTGTGTGCCAAATGCTTTAAAAATTATTAATAAACTCCTCTTTAGGGTAGTTTTAGGGTCATATCAAAACTGAGTTGAATGTATACAGTGTTCCTACACACCTCAAGTTCCCGCATACACACACACAGCCTTTCCAACAATGCACACCCTGCTCTGGAGTGCCGCACTTGTTACAGCTGATGAGTTTGTGGACACACACTGCTCTTTTCTGAAGCCCACAGAACGCAGCAGAGGGAGTTGCTCTCGCTCTCTCGGTGGTGAACATCTTTGGGTTCGGACACGTGGGTCCACTTCTGGACCTACTTGACTTTAAATGTTTTATTCACTTCAGGAATTTCGCTATCTTGTTCACACCCCAAAAGCTGGCAGGCAGGAGGCCGGCAAGGCAGCAAGGGCCCTGCAGAGCTGGAGTGGTGTGTATGGTGTGTATTTTCACATCAGACTCTCAGCCGCGTTTCTATTGCTCAAAAATAACTCTGCCCTGCTGTTTTGGAGACTGATTGGGGGGGCGGGGAGAAAGGGAAAGAGGGGGAGGAGGAGGAGGGAGAGAGGGAGAGAGGGGG